AACTATAGGCCAGTTAGTCTTACTTCAGTCCTTAGGAAGACCTTTGAGAAAATTATCAAGGAACACATCTGAGGGGGCCCAGCATGGGAGGTAATGCTCAGGGGCAACCAACACTGGTTCATTGCCGGCAGATCCTGCCTGACTAACCTAATTTCCTTTTACGACCAGGTCACCAAGTCCTTGGATGTGGGCGTTGAGGTGGATGTCGTCTACCTGGACTTCAAGAAGGCCTTTGACACTGTTTCTCACCCCATTCTCATAAAAAAACTAGGTGACTGCGGCATTGATGCCTACACAGTCAGATGGGTGGCAAATTAGCTTGATGGTCACACCCAGAGAGTGGTGGTGGATGGGTCGTTTTCAACCTGGAGGGATGTGGGCAGTGGAGTTCCCCAGGGCTTGGTCCTCGGGCCTGTGCTATTCAACATCTTTATCAGCGACTTGGAGGTGGGTGTGGAAAGCACGCTGTCCAAATTCACTGATGACACAAGGATGTGGCAAGAAGTGGGCACACTGGAGGTGGGGGGAGAGAATCCAACTAGATCTAGACAGCTTACAGAGGCAGGAGGATGAGAATAGAATGGAATTCAACGCAGACACGTGCAAGGTACTGCATCTAGGGAGAAGAAACCTGCAACATACCTATAGGTTGGGGAACACCCTTCTCAACAACACAGTGGCTGAAAGGGATCTTGGAGTCATTGTTGACTCCAGGATGGACATGAGCCTACATTGTGAGGAAGTGGTCAGTAAGGCTAACCGCACCTTGTTGTGCATATACAGATGCATCACAAGCAGGTCCAGGGAGGTGATCCTTCCCCTCTATGCAGGGCTTGTCAGGCCACAGTTGGAGTACAACATCCAGTTCTGGGCACCTCACTTCAAGAGGGATGTGGCTAACCTTAAGAGGGTCCAAAGGAGGGCCACTCACATGGTTAGGGGGCAGCAGTCCAGGCCCTATGAAGATAGACTAAAGGGACTGAATCTACTCAGCCTCCACAAGAGAAGACTGAGTGGAGATCTGGCCATCTATAAACTCACCAGGGGGACCAGCAGAAAATAGGTGAGGCACCACCTGGGATAACAAGGAAGAATGGCCACATATTGACTGAGAGCAGGTTCAGGCTTGATATCAGGAGGAATTACTTTACGGTTAGGGCTGCCAGGCTCTGAAATGGGCTTCCAAGGGAGGTGGTGGTATCTCCTAGCTTGGGGGTCTTCAAGAGGAGGTTGGATAGATATCCGGCTAGGGTATTATGATCCCAGCACTTGTTCCTTCCAAGGACAGGGGGGTTGGACTTGATGATCTGTTCAGGTCCCTTCCGACCCTAGAAACTATGAAACATTTAGTAGGAGAGTAGAAAGAAATGGGAGCAAAGTTATAGATGTGAGTAGACTGAACCAACAGGCTTTCCCCATCTCGAACACCCAACATGACTTTTCAAGGCCAGATATTATTATTTCTTAAATCCCTGATAAGATATAACTTGTGTCCAACCAGGTGGGGTAAACTACCAAATCACATCATGTTATACTGTCCCCACCTAGGACTAAGCAAGCATGTCTAGCTTCTGCTGACCAGCAAGAAGAGTTAAGTTTAGATCTCCTGGGTAGCATCATTCATACACAGAATTTCCACTAGACCGGATTTACTATTACAATAACTATTCATTATTTGTATTCCACTTGTATTACCCCTAGGAGCTCCATTCATGAACAAAAGCCTTGTTATGTTAACTCCTGCACAAACACATTATATGGTTGGTCCCTGCCGAAGAAAGCTTCAAGACATATTTATTTTGTTTGTATTTTTAAAATAATATTGAAAAAAACATTTGGTTTAATAGCTAGATTCTTCAGTGTATGAATACACCAACAAAAGCACCTAGGAGTAAGTCCATTCCCAGAAGATCTGGTCCAGTATGTCAACCTTAAGAGAAACACTGTAAGCAAAGAACACCAGATGGGCCCCTCCAAATTTCATAGAATCATAGAATCATAGAATCATAGAAGTAGGGTCAGAAGGGACCTTGTAGATCTTCAAGTCTGACCCCCCGCCTGAGCAGGAAAAAGCTGGGCTCAGATGACTCCCACCAGATAGGCATTAAGCCTTAAAAACCCCCAGGGTAGGAGCCAGCACCACTTCCCTTGGAAGTTGGTTCCAGCTCCTAGCTGCCTAAACTGTGAAGTAGTTCTTACGGATGTCTAATCTAAACCTACACTCCAACAACTTGTGGTGGTTATTCCTTGTTATGCCAGGGGCCGCTAGGGGAAACAAGGTCTCTCCCAAACCCTTCTGGTCCCCCCTAGTGAGTTTATAGAT